TTTCGGTAAACCATACAGACTCCCCTGGGTATAGCCTGCGGTATGAGGTCCGGTCAATAGCCTTGTCTTGTTCTAACTGCTTCAGACAGTCTATCACTCTCTTCCTGTAGCCACTTCCTGGGTCTCGTTTCAGGGACTCATAAGTATTTTCATCACTGAGTAGTGACAAAATTTTATCATGATAGTCTTTCTGGTTTAGCAATACTGTGCACCTCCCCTTGTCTGCCGTAAGGATGATAATGTTGTTGTCATCATCAAGTGATGTGAGTGGCTTCCTCTCCTTCATGGTGATGTTGGATGCTGGGGGCTTTGGATTGCTGAGACAGGCCGAAACGTTTGTCCGTAGTTGCTCTGCTTCCACTTCTGCAATATTGTTGTTACGAATTGCTGTTTCTGTGGCTGTGATCAGCTCCACCAAACGCTACATCCAGATGAACAGAATCAACTTTTGGAGATTTACTTACCTGGATGACTGAGCATGCATCAAGACAACAAAAAGAATTACTGTTAATCAGAGGCTTTAAAGATAAAGATTCCTTTATTTTTGCTATAATATAGGAAAAATCCTTTCTTCCAAAATCCAACGCTCACTTTTGAAATTCACCAGGTTATTGAGACCAGGGATGTCCAACTCATTATACATCGTGGACCACATGCAACCCACTTTGATCTTAAGTGAGTCGGACCAAAGAAACTCGCCTTTCCATCACTATAAGGACGTTTAACTGCGCATTAATTACCTTTTGTGAAAAAACTGAAATTTTTATTGTATATAGTAGAAAAACAGGAACTTTTCTGTCATGTTTTTTTTTTATTATTAGATTTTTATTAGTAGAAAAAGTTGGCACACATGTACCAGAAAAACATCACAGCTGAGGAGGGGGAACTTCACTACAAATTACCAGCTAGATTTTAAAAGAAAGAGCTGGCAAGATCATAAGTAATGGCACCGTCACATTTCCCCTTTAACATAAGTCTGACATATAACCTATGGATCTATTTGTATTAAATACTGTCCAGTGTATCAGTATAGGAATTTTTTTGCTGCTGCAGCCACAAGAATCCATTATCGGTCAGACTCTAATTAACAATCTCAAGCAGCCAGTTTAGTCTGTGCATCATTTAACATCCCTCCCCTACCAGCTGAATGTATGTGTGAATGCGAGTATAAATATAGCATGATTCCCATGATTAAGCTCCTGTCGCCATTTTGTTCCAGCTTGCAACCTGAACTGTGAGGTGACTGCGTGTTTCCATACACAGCTCAAACCTACTCTACATTAAACCAAATATTTACTCTGCTGATAACCTCTGCTGTTTCTGGAGCAGATAAATAAAGTTCAGTGTGACGAATCAGTGAATTATACATTCATTATGTGTCTGCAAATAATGACTTTCCCCCCCCTCTTTTTTTCCCTCTTGCCCTTGGCCTCAATCTTTAACACATATTCTAACTCAGCAGTGTGTTTTACTATTAAGTTATATAATAGATCCACTTCAACGCCATCTTAAATATATATCGATACGTGTAGTTCTTTATATAAGTTTCTTTGTGTTGTTTCCACACATAAGAAACGTCAAGACAAATTTATAATTATCATCAAACTCTTCTTTTTGGTGTAGAATCTTCCTAACAATGAAACATTATGTTTGTATAACATACTGATAGATCAACAAGTCCTACTTTAATCAATAAAACGTTTGTCTAACTAACTGTTTATCTCCTTCACAAATACTGATTATAGTTGGCACAGTAGTATGCACTGGGCTGTAGTTTGTTTGTTTTTTTTGGCTGAGTCTACTGTTTTCAGTTGGTATCTGTTTTGGAGCAACCTTATCAAATCTCTAAAAACCCTCCATGAATTGCCTTCAGGGGCTTATGTAATTTATTTGAGTATCCAACAACGCTGGATTTTAGAGCTCTTATATTTTTCATGCCGTTGCAGGTCTC